CGAGAACACGATGCTTTCGAATGCTCACACCACAGTTGATGCTTCCCATCACCGGGAAAGTGGTCGAAAGAGGTCGCGCAAGGATTCTTCAAGTGATGAGGCAGGCCATATTAATCACGGGGACCGGGACAGTGAAGCTGAATCGCTGATCGGTGTACATGTTAATTAAAAAAACTTCACACACACACACACACCTACTTCGTAGTAGCGTTCCTCGATTGGTAAATCAAGTCAAACGAGTGGTTTCATTGCATATAATTGGCTTCCTCAATCAACACCTCACATGTGCAGGGGACAAGCGACAGTGAGACTGGCAGCGGGAGTGAGGAGGAATCAGAGAGCTCAGGAACGGAGAAGAAAAAGAAAAACAAGAATAAGAAATCGAAAGGAGGCAAGACCAAGAAGAGCAAGAAGTCGAAGAAAAAGACTAGTAGGAAGATCAAGAAAAAAGGGAAGAGGTTGGCAAGAGAGCAAGAAAAGGAACGAAAGAAGAAGGAAAAGGAAGCCGAGAAAGAAGAGCAGAAGAAAGCACGTGCCGAGTTGCGAGAGAAGGTCGCTGATTCCAAGAAGGTGCCTCCTTCGCGCCAAAACAGTGCAGTATAGGTACCCGGGATATCGATATTCGATAGCTTGATTCCAGGTCCTGGGCCAGCTGAACTCCAAGATCAATGGCATCAGGGACAAGCTCAAGAACAGCGACAAACTGCATGTTCCTCAAATATTGGCTTAGATGCATGCATGTATGTATTTATATATATGCATAATCAGCACATTTCAACACGAGCATTCTGAGATCCACATAATGCTACAACACCATTTATACTTAGGCCTGAGGATTTGGCCAGCCCTATCAAAAAGGCTCTTATGGGTGAACGAAAGACTTTGGTATCTCACCGTGATGCCCTTCAGACAGCTTGCAATATCGACTTGGACAAATTTAAGGACTGGTTCAAGTACACCATGCACACACGTGCTTTCAGCCCTGCCTTGCAGGAGGAGAAGTGCAAATCTGTGACTCAAGCGGCCGAGCTAGCTTTAGAGGAATACCAATCATTTTTGGATAAAATGCGTTGCTAGATCTGATAGCGACGTTCGACCAGCTAGGGCCTTCTTTGAGCTTTTTTTGAAGCCAAGAGGCTGAAGACTGGCGATGAGCCAGCACACCAATCCAAGCTTCCTTAGGCGCTCGTCGATCCAATGATATATCACGCAAAACAGGCTTGTCATATATAGATCCTATTTTTTGCACGTGCTATATATATATATCGATTTCGTGGGTCGAAGCATGGACGCCTCTAGCGTTTGATGTCGTAGAATGTAGTGCGGTGCCATATATGCGAGGGCATTGCCACGTAGCATGCAGCTGCCTGTCCAGTCTAGTACTGTGCACCTAATTCATGATTCAGTGTACGTGCTGTTCTCTTTACAATGCACAGATTCACGATATATTAATTGGGAGACAGAGCAGTTTGATCCTTTGCCTCGAATGTAACAAACATTCATGAGGCTGGGCCCGCTATGTGGTTTGGGATGCAACATTGGTAGCCAAACTCCAGGGGAAAAAACGGAAATATTGAATCATGGAGCCACATGATTTCCTGTGCATGTTGACGGGTTCAACCTTTTTCCAATGGGGGTCACGCCGCAGAACCTGGCGAGCACCACAGAGAAGATGGTGGAGCTTTTTTCCAGAATGCAATAGATGATATCCAAGCAGGGGCCACCCGGCATGAAATTATATCCCCTTGTCTTGAGTCATTCCCTCTAGCAGCGACTTGCAGACTAGCCTCTTTTCAAGGCCAGCAGTGCAAGATCCATCATTCGCAGGGCCAGGGCCCACGTTGAGGCAGCCCGCATGTTATCGCTTCATGATTCGTGTGATCCGTGATGTGCATCGATCAAACGACAAACGTACATGGTCAGGAAATTGAAATGTACAGGACAGGTCTCTCATCATGGAGCATTTATATGTGTATAACATGTTTGTCGTTTATATCGTTCACCCTGATAATCACACATCGGTTTTTGCATGGCAGGATTGCCATGGCAACTGCCATCCCTTGAGTGAACGTCTCGGCCGATTTGCAGAAGACAGGAACAGCGCTAGAAACCTCTTCCGCCTGTGTGATTTGGAACTTGCTCCTAGTCTGGAACAAACCAGGATTCGAGTTAGCTAGATCAATTAGAATCAATATAGTGCAGGGGTGCGCCTGTCTGTTGTGCATGCGTGCTGGAATGTTCATGCTGTGAATCTGAGGAGCCGACTATGCTGAAAATTCCCATCAAAGCTCCAAAAATGCCGGGTGGGTATGAGATGAAGCCGTCTCCCCTTCTGGAGCCGCATCTAGTGATGCATCACCTGTTTACAACTATTGGCGTTCAAGTTCCCACAGGCAGGGTTCACAAGTTCTGGAGGATTCACCGAACAGAGTTGAAAGAGCCATGGGCGGTAAACAACGTTGCTTCGGACGATCATGTTCCGTATGCACTGTACGGAGATGCAGCAAAAATCCAAGATGACGGTACCAAGATGGTCGGAATCTTCTTATCGCTACCTGCTGTTTGGCGACCCCGGTCTGGTCGCTGTGGGAGATTTTGCCTTTGGGCGATGGAAGAACACAAATTCTTTGGTCATCACACTTTGCACGCAGTATTGACTTGCATCGTGGTCAGCTGCATCCGCATGTTTCATGGTTTTGACCCGGAGAGACCCGCTTTGAATTTCGCTGGAGGAAGGAGATTTGTTTGCACAGAGATCAAAGGAGACTGGCAGTGGTTGAAACAGCAGTTCCGATTTCGGAGCAACTGGAACAAACCAGACTCCGTGTGCTTCCTTTGCACCGCCAAGGGTCGAAGTCCGTGTGAGAAGGATTTATACTATTGTTTGGACAATCAGCACTGGATAGATTATGACTTGGTATCGTTCTTGGGCGATCAGATGGGGGAACTTCAAAACCCATGCACCTATGACCAATTAATGAGTGTAGAACGGAGTACGTTTGGATACATGATATTGTAATCAATCGATCTTTAAACTTGATCAGATCTAGTTCAATAATATGCAATTGCTAAGGTCCACTGATACTATTACCAGGATTTCACCCTCAATGTCTTCAGCCATGTAGCATGCATTGCTTGAACCTGGGCCTTGCCTTTGATTGTAATGGCGTTGGCCTGAAGCTTGGCCACCAGAGACCGTCCCACCGATCCACCCAAATTGACCAACCTGAAGTCTGCATGAGCCTGTAACGCCAAGATTTAGATTTTTGTTCGACATTTGCAGCACGCTTGTTAATCAAACTTTTATTTTGAGGATGGCCCTTTGTGATCTGCAGTTTTTTGGTCCGGCGGCTGATCTCCAAGACCAACTAGACTTGGCCTATGACTCGTTCCGCTCCTTTTGTCGGGCGGAGAAGATCTCAACATCGCAGCCACCTTTCAAAGTGCGACATGCCACTGGCATGAATGTTTTTGGTCGTGTGTTTATGTCCGCTCGTTGACCCGTGTATGTTTTGCACTCATGAAGCATTCGCTAGATATACTCTTGCTCATGCGTGCCAGGTTTTGAAGCGAGATGGCTCCACCTTGTTGACGGCGAAGGCGTTCAACTCTAGAGTCTTGAGTGAATGGCTGGCGAGGAGCCTAGGTGACGCTGCGCAGCGTCCAGAGCTGGTCAACGTGGATTCCCGACTACCACTCTTGGCTTCGTGTTTGCTGCTTGTTGGATGTTTTGTGAAGCGTTCCAACACCACCAAAATCCTAAGTACAGCAGCTAGCAGCTAGCAGCATGCAGCAGCAAGAATACATATATTATAAATTTATAACGGATCAATACACTGGCACCTTCCAGCCCCAGGTTGAGCCTAGCTCACTTCTTTGGCATCAGCGAGAGGTCTGGCAGGGTGCTTACGGAGCAGCAGGCGAATGATCTTTTCGAGAGCGGGCACGCACTGTGTGCCTACTATGTGGCCTTGGCAAAGGATGCGTTGAGGCAACCAGCCTTGCAGTGCATCGAGCCATTATAATTGTCCATCGTCCTAGCTAGTCTAAATTTGGCACGTGTGTTCGAGCCACCGGCAGGCGCCAGAAGGACCACTTTAGGCTGAGACCAAAGATACACGCCACTTGCTGGCAATCGTTTGCAGTTCTAGTGCACAAATGCGTTTAGCTAGTTCTTTTTGTTTGGCTGCAAACCGAGTTGGTGCTTCATCTTGCATATGCTGCAAAGAAGTGGCGAAAAAATTATCGTTTTTATCACTGCTTTCAAGATGAAGATGGAATGAAACATCTTAAGAGTTTCTTGGCAGCGTTTGCTTACTTTTTCGGGCCTCAAGGGTTGGTGAGTATTTGTTTGAATGGAGCTGATGAGATTGAGATGATTGCTTATCTGATCTTGTATGTATGCATAATTATGCATATATTTCAGGCATATCGAGACGTGCCCATCCCTTGCATAGATCACGGTGGGTGACGTTCAATACCCGGCTGCGCCTGATTTCGATGAAGTCGAAGATTGCGGCGTCCCTTGATCTATATGATTGTTTGGCAGAGAAGGTGAATGCACGCGTTGTTTCAAGTTGATTTGTTAAATATGCAGACCATGGCACGCTTGTGAGCGTGTGTGTGTGTGTGTGGGGGGGTGGGGACGGTGCCAAGGTTGAACAACTCTGTCAAGAAGCGTCACCTCAAGGGTGCCATGTGATGGAAAAAAGAGTGCTGACAAGCCCGACAGTGATACCAAAACATGGAGAAAGAAACCGAGTTGCAAAAAATGTCCTTGGACAAACAATGTCTCTCTCCACGGCGGACATTCTTTTAATAGTCTTCGGAAGTATTGGGGATCCCAACTTAGAAAGTGCTCTGTAACTCTCGCTCTACACATATAGTATGTGTTTCTGCTGTATATACATAAAGTACATATGACATATGATGTTTCTTTGTGTTTCTGCTATTCTTATCAGCTTCAGAAACGTCGACCTGGACACCACCCACCGGCTGGCCTCATTGCCAGCCTCCTGAGCCTTGTCGCGCACCGAGCGGCCGGGGGACCAGCCTGGCGAACCGCTTCGCCGGTGGACACCGGTCTTCATGCCGGATTCCGAGGGCCAGGACGTTAAGTGGCTGAACCTGGGGAAGTACGGCACAGCCAGCGATCTAAGCAGCTGCCTTGGAATCCCTACCGAAAAAGAACCCCTCATCTCTGTGCCCACACTGTTTGGGGAATGAAGACTTCAAAAGAATCGAATGGAGACGAAAAGGGGTCATGAGACCATCTGAAACCATGGTGTGTGTCCTGACGTAGGGAAGAAACGCCGGCAAAGAATCATCTGTCATGGTTTCTTCAACCAACTATTCAGACCACACAGGAAATGCATCTTTGTTAATCTTGTTCTTTCTTGTTCTTCTTGTACCAACAGGGCTTCAGGGGACACCCAACTTGATATTTCAGCCACCCCTTCTGTTTCCGGTGATCAGGCACCTTCGCCCCCAGCACCGGTGGCTTTTGGACCGTCGACCCGTGCGGCGAGCCAGCCACAGCGCAGCGAGAGACCGCCTGTGGCCGCGGTGCCGAACGAGAGCATCTCACAGAGGCCGAGCTGGAGAATCGCCTCGGACAGCGGATGGATTGGCCGAGGAATGGAGACGGGGCGAGTGACGTGGCGAAGATGGGGTCGAGGCACTTCGAGACGCGAGGCCTAAGGCGTTGAGGCAGGGAGTTGGATCGATCCACGAAGATGAGAGAAGGTCCAGAGAATTGATGGAAAAGTCCCATGTTGGTCGCCTCATTCTTTGGATCTGCGCGAAAAGCAGTGAGGTCATGGCTCTCTCTCCCACGGGTGAGCGAGCAGACTTGTTGCGGAAAGCGGGACGTTGGAAGGGGCAACTGGAGGGGCACGTTGTCCCCGCCAATAAATCGCTCAAAGAAACTCACCAAAACCATCTTTCCTTCCTTTGAGGCTGTAATCTGCCTTCACACAAAACAATCGAAAACGCTGTGGCTTTGCAGATGAATGAACACCCATCACCAAATTGCCACATGGTCACCCAACATCCCTCCCAGCAAGCCGCACGCGCAGCGCCTGAGCCACTTGATCACCTGAAGTCTTGGCATTCTGGAGCTCCTGAGCTTTCTTGGTTGATTGGTCAACCACAAACAGGGCTTGCGGCGTGAGTCCAAGACAACTTAATTTCAGGCCAGGGGTACACACCATGCATGATCTGGAATTGGGAACCACCAATCGTTTCATTTCTTCTGCTTTGCTCCACTATCCTTCTGCGTGTTGATGCTGTCCAGATGAGATTAAGAACAATTACCATCAAAACAGGTTTCCACTGCTGATCTTTGCAAAAGCTCCCGTTGAATCCTCCGGGCTTTTGTTGCAGTATTGCTGGTTCTGCATAGTTTTGCTCAGCATCCTTGGCAAAGGGAATATACAACATTATACAACAACATACCAATACAACCTAAAGGATTCTTCGGACTGCCCTCTGGATTGGGTGGGAGTCTGGCCGTTGACTCACCGAATGGAGTGGATCGGTCCTGTGAGAGCATCTCTGCTGGCTTGAGTGAGCGTGACTCCTCATCGTCCATGAAGTAGGCCTTCCCCGAAATCAAGTCCACACACACACACACACTAGCAAGGCGATCCCGCACCTCGCGGCGGAGGCCCAAAATGATCAGAACATGCGCCCTACATGCGGCACTCATCGGGCGGTTTTTTCAGATGACGTCCCAGAAGTCTCCGACGGGATCTGCCGGGTGTCCTGAGAGACACCCTGACAGGTGGAAGGACCAGAGCGTGCTCAAGTGCACCACCATGTTGCTAAGGTCTCTCCAAGATGGAAAGGAATCTGTCAAACAAAGGAGACAGGTCACGACCTTTTGCTGGATGACCGGACATCCTTTCAGATCGACAGGTCAGGTGACCTTTCTTTCGCCTTCCAAATTGGATGACCCATCCAATCCAACTTGAAAATATCACCCATCCAAGAATCGTCCCAAGATCGGTGCAACCTTCTTTCACTTTTTTTTTTCAGAGGCCATGGCTTTCATTGGGCTCCCACACACGAACTTACAAGCTCTTGCGGAATTTGCCCAAGTAGACGTTGAAGTATGTATATAAGTATATAAATGAAAAAAGAGTCCAAACTATCAAGAGAAAATTCTATGAGAAGCTTGGGGGGTTACCTTGCAGGGGCTATCTGACCAGCCACGCCTTCAACTGTTGAGTCTTCGCGATCAAGCGGGTGCATTCTGCACATCCCACCGCATCGCCTGAGCCAACTTTGAATCAGAACCCTGGCCCTCAGGAGCAAAGAGAAAACCTGTAACCGCAACTGCCCCAAACCAAGGAATCCCTCAAGACAAACCAACTGAAGATCCTTTTGGATCCTGGAATGCCCCAGTTTTCAAGGACTGGTCAAAGGGCTCAGCCCTGGTCGGCTATCATCAAATCATATCAAATCTGATGAGGTCCTCATCCAAGTCATTGCCCATGTATTTCTGCGAGCTGCTTGGAAAGAAAGAGACATCAGGATACCCCCTGAAGGCCCGTCCATCCACGGATGTGTCCGTTCGACTTGTTGTCAGGCCTGAGCTTCGAAATGCCTGGAGTGCCGATTCAGCTGCAGTCTGCGCTGACTCAATCTCGATCTTGTTCAGATGGCCTGCGTGGCACAAGGGTTTTGCCCAGAAACGCCCGCATTCTCGTTCATGGATGGATTGGACCCTTCTACAAAAAGGGTCCGTGGTCTCCACCTCCAGGCGGATGCAGAACCTGCTACCTAGGGCCCTTTCCTTACTCCAAATATGGCACACCTGGGCACGCCACGAATCACCTGGACCTCAAAACGAATCAGTTCCCCCTGCGATCCGTGTGATCTATCTTGCTGTGAATGACTCCAATCTTTAATCCCCCAAAGAGAGAACAAAGCAGTCTTTCATCTTGCTCTCACAATTCATTCATGTCCCCCACGACCCCCTCCATAAAGCTAATCTTCTGACTCCTTCTTCTTCTCAACACCTGGCCTTCTGCCGCAATCGCCTGCTTAGCCTCAGCTGCACTGGTGTTCCCGCACCACACTTGTGCGGAAGTTGGATCTCCCCACCACACAGTCTGACAAACACAGCGGTTTCTTACGATGTCTTCTTGTTGACTAAAAAGAAGGCTATGGCCAAAACAGGTGGCGCCCCAGCGTGACTTGTAGTGTGAGCTTGCTATGCTGCATCTCAACAAGAACAGTTCATGTGGACACTCGTCCGACGGCTTTGTGGACAGTATCTTCAGAGCTCCAAGATCTTTGGAATCTACGGAGTCCTGAGAAGCATCTGTTCAATCACTGCCACACTCTCCGCTGGATCTGACATTGGATGCTCTTGACCTCCCCTGGAAGAAACCCTTCTGCGGCCCCGTGCTGCAGCTGATGAGTTGCTTGCGAAACCTCACAACCGCAAACCGCAGGGGGAGGACCAAGATGGATGCATTTCGTTTCGAACGAAAGAGGAAACCACCTCATAACCTTTGCAGGTAACCTTTTTCTGGTCAACTTGCTTGGGAAGTGCTTGGGGTGCTGTCAGGCTTGGCCCTTTTCTTCCATGGACACCATATGCATATATATATATATAGTCTACTTAGTCTACTTCCTTAGAAAAAACAAGGATTTGATTGGGTGCTTGGCTGAGCTCCACCCAGGAATCAAAGCATTCACTGGAGTTTCTGAAAAACAAAAAGGACAGAGCAGGCCCCGCCCGACACTGGGCCACCCTGCGAAGCTCTGCGTCATGTCGCTCAGCAATTAGAGGCGTCCTATCCAGAAAATCTACAAATTGTATGTCCTAAAACATCCACAAGAAATCCACAGCTTCTAGATGTCTTTCCTGATGAATTCCGGTCTGTTTTGCGGAGCAAAACATCGCAAGCATTTAGCTGGTCAGCCTGCATACTTCACCCAGAGGAGGCCGAGGATCAAGTAATGGAAAGCTTCCTTGTGCCATGGCCTGCAAGCGAACACTTCGCAGCTCAACTTCAAGCAGGCACAGGACACAGAAAACCCACCCAACCAAAACTCAGGAGAGCACCCCCCCCAAACCCCAAAAGTACATTCCTTGAAATAATCATGGACCAATGTCCACTTCGATGATTCTTTCAGGGAGTGAAAATCATCTCGCAAAACCAGTTGAGGTCACCTGCATTGCTTGGGCCAAAAACTTGTGAGGAAAGTAGAGCAAAACTCACAACTGGTGACCAAATAGAATTTTGTGGAGGTCGTCAACCTTCAAGAGGTAATGTTTTCCCTTGACGACTTTCGGTGGTGAGATGGCAATGCGTGAGGTGGAATCGCATCCTGATGCTGAGATATCCAGCGTTCACAGGCGAATTGGCGGACCCAGTTTAGCTCTCAAGAAGGATTTTGCGCAAACAACGGCCTGGTTTCAATGTCTACTGCAAGTCAGCAAGATGTCCGGGACAACCCGTCCAAACTGTTGCGACCTCTTCAAACCCTGGTGGTTTTGGACAAGTCTCCCCCATCAGTCACTGACACACCAGGCCCCGCAACAGAACTCATTTGGCCTGGTGGCAGTTCCGCCTGCCGTGGCCCAGAGAAGCCCTTCGGCTGAGCCCAAACACCGGTCGACCGCCGCATCGGTCCATTGGAACTGGAATGACAAGCATGAAGAGCATCGTTCCACACGTGAGCTGTGCGTGCACGTGCGCGATGCGTAGGCCGAAGTGTGCGTGAACACCTTGTCTTTGTCCAAACCTCGTTGCAAACAGGAAAATGAAGGCGGCTGGAATCAACTGAAAGCGGGATGCAGCTTTACGAACTTTTGGCGCACAATGCAAATGCAGCTGCAGGTGAAAATTTCATGATACAATGCACCTATGGTATACACTGCAAACTCTTCACACTCCTTCTCGGTGGAATGAGCGCGATTTCCTTCTCTAAGCTCACTCTGCCGCTATTCGATTTCTACCCTGCTGCTACTCCAAAGAATGGGGTTCCTTGAGGATGTTCCTCTTGGCTCCACCTCATCTGACATCATTTGAAATCGTTTTCTTTCATAGTCGATCATATCTGCTTGTTCTTGTCCTCTTCCTTCTAGTGCACAGTGCCTTATGTTCAAGATGTTGATTTTAGCCTCGAGTCGACCACATAGTACATCTTTCTGTTCTCTTCATACTCCACGCCGCTCACACATTCTGCTTTTCCACTTCGACATGGTCTTGATCCTGGTCTTTCTGAAGGAACTGTTGCTTGAGTCGTTGCCTCTAATGGCACATTGTGTCTGGAAAATTGTCCTAACGAGAGAGATCTCAAGTGTTCTAACTTCCTTCTTGCCAAGTAGTTCGCCGCGTTTGTTTTTGAGATCATATCATAGCCTTGTCTGTGTAGAGAATCTGGCTCTTGTCCTTCTACAAAGCCTCCGTTGAGAATCAATCCACAATGAATTCTCCTTGTGTACTTGTTAGATTGTCGAGTTAATGGTCATCTTCCTCTCGTCTGTCGAACTTGTATTCTACTTCTATCACTCGAATCTCTAAATTCATTCACTGTTCCCACAAGGAGGCTTCTTTATGTGTCCACTCTATCCTCAACATATTTCCATAGCCTCCACATTGCTAAGGTCATTGCTGCAAAACCGAAGACAATGATCATTGACAATCGTACTTTTCCAGTTCCTATTGGCGTCTTCAACTTCCACCGTGCACTGGTCAATTCCTTTCATGAAGGTAGTAGCTTCTGTAACCATTGGCTGCGAGCCCTCGAAAGTAACGATTCTGACAATCATCTTGGCAATTTTGTTGGCCTTGCGTGCAAAGTTCTTTCTCTCTTCGTACGCCTTTCTCTCAAGTTCACCAACCTTTGCGCGCGCCAATACCCAATAGGGTTCATCAGAAATCTAATCCTCTGGCCTCCAAGTGGCGATGTCTGCCATGTTGCTGTCTGTTGGTACTTGTACCATATTGAATGAAGTCTTTGCAGTTTTGAATTCACAGCAACTTGCCATCTAAATGTCTCGCCTGACCGACTCCTCTCTTTGTCACACGTTGGCGCGCACTCGAAGAATCTGTGATTCACCTTTGTCACGCGCAAACCCAAGAACTGAACGAATGTATACACCATCTGAAGCTGGGGAAACTAGTGCGCGCAGCTCTGCCTCACATGAAGATAAGCTAACGGTCTTCTGTGTTCGACTGCTGTTGAATAATGGACAACCATTCAATGCATGGAATCCTCCTGATGTTGACCTTCTATTGCTTTGTTTCCGCTACAGTCTGAGTCTGAGAATGTCTCTAGGCGCCAATAGTGTTCACTTTTCTTCACACAGCCTTCTCCTGCGTGTAGAAATTTAATCACCAGGAAATAGTCCACGGTCTTCTTCAAGTATCCTAAGAACTTCTTCAAGTGGTGAAAGGACATAGTTGTTGGGTTTGACATTCTTGAAGCCAATTCCTTGACAGTAAATGCCACGTCATATCTTTCTTGACAAAGATACCTGAACCAACAATGCTTCTGAACAGACTTCTCCTGCTCATTCAAGATCTCTGGCTTGTCTCCCATTTGGATCGAATTGTCTGAAGGTAGCTGTTGGAGTTTGACCTCTCCAACTTGCTCTTCATATGCCTTCAGTATCTGTTGGATGTATATAGTTCCCTGGTTGGGTCCATAGCTCTTCCCAGTTTGTACTTTCTCCTCAGGAAGTTGAATTTGCCACCGAACTTCTCAATCTTGCTCACGCTGGTGTCAAACCTGTCTTGAATCTTTGGAAGGAAGATTTCATTGATGTACTTTGAACAACCTGTGAAAATCAAATCATCCACATGAATCAGAATGCTGCTTTTTTCATTTCTTCCCAGGCATGGACATTCAGCACTGAACTTGTAATTGAATTCCTCGGTGGGGTGCCCTGTGAAAAGTCAAACCATGCTTTTGCTCCAACTCTCTGTCCAGGAAAAATCCTCTTCACTAAGTATTCTTCTCCTCTCAGGCTCACTTCAATTAACTTTCTTGCGGAACTTGCAAGAATGCATCCTTCACATCCAGACAACCTCGCGCAACTATGATGCGTTGGAAGCTTGCTGCCCCCGTTAACGTGTGAGTGTCGCCCTGGATCTGCCTCACGAAGAAGTTCGTGGACCTAAGATCAACGATGAAGCGGAGCACCTGCTGACCATCTTCCGTCAAATTGCCTGGTTTTGCCAGAGGCACCGTTGACCATCTTCATCTCTCCAATTCTGGGGACCTGGTCTACCAGGCGCACCAGGCCTCGGTCCCAACGGGCTCTCACAACTTTCGGCCACTCCGAACACGGGGCCGAGGTGGCAACCCTTGAGGCTCTTCGATAAGCAACTTCTCTGGATGCCTGACCTCTTCAGCAAGAGGCTCAAGCAATACCGCCAGAATGTCAACGATACCTCCATGATCTGGCGATGGCAGCCCTGGAAGAATCTGGTTAAGGCTGAGGTCCACAGTCTCACCTGTGTGCGAAACCCAGAGTTCATCAAGCTTTGAAGCCCATCCCACACACGCGGGACTCCCGGTTTGCTCTTCTCATCAATGAAAATTTTCAGCTGCTTCCATAGCTGCTTCAAAGACGCCTCCTGGGCCGGTGTAGCGGCGGCACTTCCAAGGGGTCCATCGGGATGATGCCACCCCCCCTGGTTATAGTTGATCGCGGCCACAATCAAGCCACGCCGCAAACATGAATCGACTGTGAATATCTGGACCAGCAAATGTCTGATGACCTGCTCTGCCGAGAAACCCGAGGGAACATCACCTCCGAATATGTTGAGAACCTCCTTCCATACAAAACCCATGCCTGATCAAACCCTGGCGGGCATTCTGGGTGGTTCGCTCGCCCACCATCTCTCCTTTTGCGCTCACCTTCGGTCTGCCCGACCAATTTGGCTCTTTCTTCCAAAACGAAGTCCCGTGCACCGCAAGGTTGTCCTAGGGGCCTGACCTGAGATCTTGACCTCTCTCTTGCGCTTTTGCTACGGACTTTGCCTTTTCCTTCTCGGTCCCTGACTCGACTCCAATCTTCTCCTGTCAAATCTGCTGTCTGACCTCTTGTCGACGAGGCTCAGCCCTTGACGTACTGCGTCCTCTTTTGGAGAGTCTCGCAGGCCTGGACGGTTGATCCATTTGACCGTGACTGGGTCTCGACTGGAGCTCCCGGACATCCTTCTTTTCCTTCTTCTTGTGCTCCTTCAAGCTGACCAACTTCTCCTTGTCCATGGTCTTTAGTCAAGTGTTCTGTCAGCGATCGCTTGCCCTTGTGGCCATCTCCATCCGAAGAACTCTCCATCTCCTCGCCTTTGCCGGCGGCGACCTTCTCCTTCTCCTCTTTTTTTAACTCAACCTGCTCCCCACGAAGGGGCTGCAGGCGTCTTTGGTTCCTTGGCCTCAAAGGTTTGCCCCACCTGATGCCTGCAGCTCTGGTGTGTTTCTGACTGGCCAGGCGGTGTGGGCAACTAACTCTCCATTTGGTGACATGGATGAGCGCACGCTTGTCTCATGTCTCCTCTGGAGGCGGACCCGGCAGCGCCCAGAGGGCCCCTTACAAGTGAAAACAGCTACCGTGAGGGACTGGACGACACGAACGCCACCATACCCCTGCGGGTTTCCTTTCCGAGCCACTTCATGTGACCGACTTCCTTCTTTGCCAAGCGTGCCGCTGATCCAGCCCTCTTCATCTTTTGACTGACCATCTAGCAGCACCGCTTCTGCGCCCTCGCGACTCAGTCCGAGGGACTCCGAGGGACTTCGCACGCTCTTCAAGAGCATCCATGGCTCACTGAGCGCACCTCCTACCCCTCTGGTCCGCCCCCTTACGGGTCTCAAACCAGAGGGGGGCACACCCACCACCTGAGCCGACAATCTCCACACGGTCACTCTCTCGCATATGTCTGCTATAGCAGAATTCATAATGTGTATATATATATATATATTTCATATTCATCTATCTTCTAGAACTCGAGGACGGTCAAAATCCATGAGATGATGCGACTTAAGTGGCACATCCAGGCGTGAGCGCTTTTGACGATCACCTAGAATGCCTTGCTGTCTCAATCATCTAATTAACTGTCATGTCTCTGCGCAGCATTGCGGACAAAGCATGCCAGCGTACACATATCGAGCGGCCGAGTGGCCATACATTGCGTTTGCCAACTCGACAATCAGATTGCAAAAACAATCTGGTGAGTGGGGTGCAAAACGAATTGCTGTCAAGATATATAATCAGTCAGGCGCAAAGCTCTGCGTAAATGTGACCACTCAGGAGTGAAAGCGTAAAGAAAGCAAAGGCTTTGAATTTGCTCTTTACATCGATTTCTTTTCAACATCTTGAACAGCAGTTCTTTCGACAGGGCACCAATCGATCCCGAACGCTTTTCGGCGGGTCGGCGGGAGTTCGCCGAGCACGTCTGAATGGGAGTCTTCCGGAACATACAAAGCTAAAGGAAGTGAGAGTCACTGCATTCATGGGAACAAATGGGAGTCTTGAGAACTCTCAATCTGATATCATTCAGATTGCCTCATGTGCAGGCAACGCCTTTCATTGCACCTTTTGCGGAGGCTTCCCACCAAAGTGGGCCCATGTGGCACTACATGTGGCACTACG